TTTTTCCTGTGATTTTCTGAACTGTTCTTCGTCGCGTTCATCATTTCTTCACAATGAACAAGTCTTTGACATGCTCCATAACACGTCAGACCTAGAGGAATGCTGATCGCGATATTATCCAACATGGTGATGCCCAGCTGCCTCTAATTGTCATCACGATGTCAGAGTGGATTGATCGGTGAGCCAGACGACTCGAGAGCACTCCTATTGATTCGGATTCTCTTCACTACAAAAAAGGTATTGGAGGCTATTATATCATAACCGTTAGTTTATTTAGTGGATGGTTGTACGCGATTTGTTTTTTAGTGTAAATTAGGAAGTGAGTGCAAATCATGGGGGATATTTCATTTGGTATGAATCATAACCATCTGCTATACTAATTAACGGCTATGATTAATGTAGTGGTCTCTACACTACTTTTTTTTATAGCGGGAGAGGATACAAATTCATTGTTATTTTGGGAAAAAGAATTTGCACAAGATCCCCCTCTCTCATAAATGCAAAGAGTTAAGTTCTTGTAAATGAGTAAGTAGATAAACTTATAGAGTAGGGGGTTATCCGTTATTTAACCTAGTATATACGGGCTTCAGTCTCTATCTACCTGCATCCTAACTCTGAACTATTTTTGGTCTATTCTTGGCCTCCTAGACTACCAAATCTACCCCTACTTACCTCCTGATTTATTTTGATTCTCATCTTACCTTTGAACTACCACTTTCTTCCCGTAAATCCATTTAAAACACACTACAAATTAACAAACAAAGAGTGGCAACTGTTGTGAACAGACGGCGGTGCCGAGGAACCAAAACAAACGCCGATCAAAGAAGGCTAAAAACAACCAAATATCAATGCACAAACCCAAACACCAATTTTAACGTGGTTCGGTAATTGCCTACGTCCACGGGGCAAGAAGGGGGAGGGTTTCCACTAATAGAGAAGGAGAGTACAAATTGATATTACAAATCGCTCAAACGAACCAACTAATCTCACCAACAAATCTCTTAACCTCTCAACCAATAACCCTAACCAATAGGTCAGAAAGATATCTCTTTTCTGTGCTCCAAAATCCCCAAATATGCCCCTCCAAACCCTCAAATCGTATTGGTATTTATACCAAAACAGAAACTCAAACAGACTGCAAATAGGAACCTGAACTTTCCAAAAAACCCGTCGTAAGGCGACTTATCAGTCTGCATAAGTCGACTTGGCAGAGCGAAAAACGACAACTGGAGAAGAGTTCATAAGTCGACTTAACAGGTCTAATAAGTCGACTTGCCAGAGCCCAAAATCAACAATCCACAGCAGATCGTAAGTCGACTTACGACACAAACATAAGTCGACTTACCATAAGTCGACTTATGCCTGTGCATGAGTCGACTTATGACTAAAAATCTGCTTTTTTCAAGTTCTTCTCCACAATTCTCCACCTCGGCGAAGTTTTCCCAAAACTGAGCCGACACCAACCAAACAAATACCTCACATGTTGAGACCCAAATGGGAGTGTGAACACTCACCCCAAATGTCGATGTCGCTTACCAAATCGGCTGCATCATAAAGACTGCCTACGTATCCTCTTGCCCAAGGAATCAAGCCTTCACGTAGTTCACCAAAATGGCCTCCAAAGGCCCTCAAACAAATAGAAAAGTATGCAACTCTTCCCCAATATCGCCGACGGATTTGCAACTGATAGCGGCTCCAAACTGATACAAATCAAACACCTCCATATGAGGTGAACCAATGACCGTATCCAAATCATGTCCACCAGCTGCAACCGAATCCAAAACCAATCCATCATCTGCATCCGAAATCAAATGATTCCCAATCTGTATCACGTCAGCTGGAATCCCAAATGATGCAGTATAATCTGGAGTACGTGGAGTAATCTCCACTCAACGTGGAGTAGCATCACTCTCCACCTGCTGCGATATCCAAATGACCTGATCAATACTCTCCACCTGCCGAGAGTCAAAAGTGACATACCTGCTCAGAACAAAATCAGAAGCTCCCAAACGATAATCAACTGAGCCTCTGAACCTCAAACGCGTAATCGGATCAAATCTCACATCCTCGATGTGACCAAATGCTGGGTATCCAAATATCCGACGCAACCCAAAATCTGAAGCAGCTTCACCAGATCCAATAACTTCTAATACAGCAGTCGGCGACCTGTGACTAAGATGACCCAAATATGTCGAAGCTCCAGAACTAATGCTCGACAACCAACGCCGATCCTCCTCCAGAAAGGAACGACCCATCGGAACTGTCATCTCATCTCGTTGCCCCAAAGTCTCCACACCAATGAAGTGTCTCCTATTGCCGTGAGCTCGGCACAAACGTAAGAAAGGACCCCTACCAAATCTAGAACAACGAGTTACCTTTCTGGCAATACACTTCTTCCAATTGTTGTTGACTTCTAGGACTTTACACCAACGGGAACTGGTCGCGACCCAATAATGCTTAGAACAATCATCAACTGCGGAAACTAAGATACGATTACCTCCCAATGATGCCTCATTGGAAGGCCCCCAAATGCCTGACTAAACACCTCCTAAAAGACCCCTCACTCGATGGATAGGAATGCCAAGCTCCACCACGGTCTTGCTCATCCCAATATGCTCACAGGACTTCAATCTGCAAGTCATAGAACTCCTCAACAACCAATGCACGACATTACCAATCATATACCCCAACACTAAACAATGCCACAGTCTAGCCGAATCTGATAAAGTCGTCATCTCCCTATCAATCACCGTGCTTCCAAGTAAATAGTACAAATTACTCCTTCTGACGCCCTTCATCACAATCATGGACCCAAATGTAACCTTCAAACGTGCATCCGCCAAGGTCACCCTATAGCCTGCTGCCTTCAAAGCTCCAAGTGAAATGATGTTCTTCTTCAACTGAGGAACGAACCTCACTCCAACCAACTCCTGAATCACTCCGTCACTCATCCTGATCCGAACGGTACCGATACCACCAATAGAGCATTTGTGATCATTCCCCATGAGCACGAAATCCCCTCTTTCCAACTCCTGAAAGCTGGAGAACCAATCCCTCCTAGGGCAAATGTGGTATGTAGCCTCCGAATCCAACATCCACTCTGTATAGTAGACAACACAAACTGACGGCAGTGCAGATAATGAGTAGCCCGAAGAATCCGAATCTGAATCGTTGCCACTAGCCTTAACAACATTCGCCTCTGAAGATTGAATAGCTTTTCCCTTATTCTTCCCGGCTCAATCAACTAACTTTGGGCATTCGGCTTTCCAATGTCCATCCTCTTTGCAAAATGCACACTGATTCTTACGAACTCCAAGATGTGCCCCTCTAGACTGCGACCTCCCACTACGGTTTGGACCCTTTGCTCTTGCGACCAACGCCCCCGCTACCGACTCAAACGAAGTCTCCTTATCCTTCTTTCGAAGCTGATAATTCACAAGTGCAGTGTTGACCTCACTATACGAAAGAGATGTCTTTCCATTAATAAGAGTAAGAACGAAGGTCTCATATTCCTCGTCGGGCAAGGAACTCAACAACAACAACGCCTTGTCCTCATCTTCAATCACCACATCTACATTCGCCAAATCTGTAAGAAGCTTCGTGTAGTGGTTCATGTGATCACCAATAGAGGTTCCTTTCTTCAACTGGAAGCGGTAAAGCCTCCTCTTCAAATGCAAACGATTCTCCACACTCTTGGTCAAATACTTGCTCTCAAGGATCTCCCAAATCTTCTTTGCAGAAGTCTCATTGATCACATCATACTTTAGATCTTGAGTGAGACAAGACCTAATCACACCACACGCCGTTCGATTCATCTTTTTCCAAACCTTCTCATCAATGTTGTCCGGTTTCCCGTCCAACTCCAACGTATCTTCCAAATTTTGCGCGTTGAGCGCATCCATGACTTCGCATCGCCAAAGTCCAAAATTGTTTGTGCCATTGAACTTTTCCACGTCAATCTTCATCGAGTGGATATTCAAGCTTTGGACGGTCTTCACGCCGGAAGTACTGCCCACAACTCCTTCTTTCTCGGCCATAATCCTCAAGGCACCACCAAACCAATGCGGAAACAAACGAGAAATAGATCCAAACTGAAAAAGACGAGATTTTTACAAAAAAAGATCCCACCTTTATCACCAAACGAAGCCCTAGATGAACTTCCAAAGCGATCTACTCCTCCAAATAGCCCAAGCGTAGCCCGAGCTCTGATACCACTAGTTGTGCTGATGGCGGCGCCGAGGAACCAAAACAAACACCGATCTAAGAAGGCCAAAAACAACCAAATATCAATGCACAAACCCAAACACCAATTTTAACGTGGTTCGGCAATTGCCTACGTCCACGGGGCAAGAAGGGGGAGGGTTTCCACTAATAGAGAAGGAGAGTACAAATTGAGATTACAAATCACTCAAACGAACCAACTAATCTCACCAACAAATCTCTCAACCTCTCAACCAATAACCCTAACCAATAGCTCAGAAAGATCTCTCTTTTCTGTGCTCCAAAATCCCCAAATATGCTCCTCCAAACCCTCAAATCGTATTGATATTTATACCAAAACAGAAACCCAAACAGACTGCAAATAGGAACATGAACTTTTTAAAAAACCCGTCGTAAGTCGACTTATCAGTCTGCATAAGTCGACTTGGCAGAGCGAAAAACGACAACTGGAGAAGAGTTCATAAGTCGACTTAACAGGTCTGATAAGTCGACTTGCCAGAGCCCAAAATCAACAATCCACAGCAGATCGTAAGTCGACTTACGACACAAACATAAGTCGACTTACCATAAGTCGACTTATGCCTGTGCATGAGTCGACTTATGACTAAAAATCTGCTTTTTCCAAGTTTTTCTCCACAGCAACTGGGCACTACATTGATTATTCAAGTAGCGAGCAGGAGTGGATTTAATAGTTTGGGAGGCAATACATGACCAAAAATAGTTCTGATCGTAATTAAATACCAGACTAGTTTCAATAGTTTAATTAATTAAGGATGATATACAGGGACTAAAAAGAATATAGGAATCAGATTAGACAAATTTAATAGTTTAAAACAAGTAGGCTCTGAAGCCCTTCATATATAACACACCATCGCTCACCATATTTCTTTCTGAGTTCTCTTATTCCTCAACCTTTCTACCTCTCAAATGGGTTCAGCTGCAGGTAATTAAGCATATCCATCTTAAAATCCCTCTAGTATATATGCAACTAATTCAAATTTCTCTTAAACTAATATATCTCAGTACTTGCAGGCGAAGTGAGGGAACACCTCCTTCTCAACGTTGACCCTGATCATCCTCAAGACCAGACACCGCCGACCACAACATCAAAACTACAAGTCAAGAATCTAAGCAAAGTATCAGACACAGGCGAAGCAATACTCAGAGGAGTCAACTTAGAGATACCGAGGGGTAAGGTTACCGGGATCATCGGCCCCAGCGGCAGCGGCAAATCGACGGTCCTCCGCGCTCTCAACCGCCTGTGGGAGCCCTCACCGGCCACCGTGTTTCTCGACGGTGAGACGGTCCTCCGCGCTCTCAACCGCCTGTGGGAGCCCTCACCGGCCACCGTGTTTCTCGACGGTGACGATATCTGCGGGCTTGATGTGCTGTCTCTCCGGAGGAAGGTCGGTATGCTGTTCCAGCTCCCTGCCTTGTTTGAAGGTAAGTTGTACCTAGTTGATTCCATGATCATCAAAAGGAATTGTTTGTTGATTGATTGATTGATTTAGTATAATGAGAGTTTAACTAGATAGCTAATCATTGATTAGATGGCCGGCATATTTCGTGGATGATGCATGTATTCCGTCAACTTCATTGTTGGGCCACCAAGAATTTCAGCATAATTCTTTATGCTTCAATCATTATCGTTCAAGTGTCAGGGTTAATTTACTATTTACTTTCCCAAAATTTGATTTCTTCTCCCCTACAAAAAACTATAGGATACATACCATCACTTTTAATTTTAAAATTGATTGTTGATGTATAATAATTATTAATAACTGTGATTCATTTTAAATATAATGCTTATATATTATATTGAATTACACTTGTCCCTATTTTGCATCAAAGAAGAAGAATGATACCTGAAATAATCAATTGTTGGAGTTTTTTTAAATCAATGGTTGGGGTTAAATGCAATGCAGATCGGACCCAATTAATCATTTTTTAAGCATTCATCCCAAATAAATGTAACTTAGGTCAGTTATTGTGCTTAAATGAATAAACTACATCGTTTCTTTGTGTACTAGCTAGTTCTGAATTATATTTTCCTCTCTTTTTTCCAAAAAAAAAAATATATATATATCTTGGATCTATCCAGCTTGTGAAACTCTTGCCTAGTATTTCTCTCATTATAAATTGATATGTTACCAGCAAAAATTTTGTGAGTAGAATTAGAATATACGAGATTAATCAAATCCAATTTCAAAATAATTTGAGTATCTATATTGTCCTGAATATCTTTAAAAAAAACTCTTAATCGCCTTATTAAGGTTAATTTCCACGCTATTGAGATGTGGTGGAAGAGAGGGAAAAAAATAATCAAACTCAAGAAAATAATTACAGAGCTTATTATTCTCTACCATATTTTGCTTACGTTTATACCCCTTTAAGGTATAATAGAGATTATTTGAGTGTGGTTTTTAATCTACTTTGGACATCGTAGTAGCATATTACTTGAAGAATAATGGCGGTTGCTGTCAAAGATTAGTTACGAGTGTACAGCTTTTTTCATAATACTTGGCATCATTTATGAATTTGCACCGAAAACCGATTACAGTTTGCACATGTAACCCACATATATGGTTAGTGTTGCTATCAATAAGCGCTAGAGCTTATATCATCAGGGTCGTGATGATCCTAAAAGCATGTGATTGATGAGTAAATTAATAAGAAGAGAATGAGATTAACTTTAATTTAATGCCAGCTAGCTTGGGGAGAAGGAGAGGTTTGGTGATACACAACAAGGGAAGGGAAGTACCGTACTGGTGAAGGTTGCTGTCGTGGTTTGCGGGTCCCACAGCCTTCACCGCCCTCTCATTCTCTCAACCGGTGAGGGTCTTATCTATTCCCGAGATAGAAATTCGCCACTTGGCGCTTTGATGCTATCTTATCGGGTGTTAGTTAATTGGAACATTTTCATATAAAATAGAATAATCGTTAAAGTAAAATAAATTTTCTCTAGTGGATATTTTAGTGGGATAAATAGGAACAATTTTGTGAAACGAGATATTTTGATAAAATAATGTGGGATAAAATTTTATAATCATGAAATATATATTTATGTATTTTGAAGATATAAATACTATCTATATATTTTAAACTTACTATATTGGTTGATAATTGCTTACAAGAATATTCTTTACTAAATAACTTTTGGTTAGACTATAAAATATTGACAATTATTATTATAATTATGGTCTAATGATGGTGATAACCATAATAGTAAAGAAGTAAAGAAAAAAAATAAATATAAAAAATAAAAAATAACAAAATAAATATGAGCTCTAGTTTTTTACTATCTAGTTCCAAGCTAAAACTTGGAATAATTTGTGAGACTAGAACTCTCATTTTTGTATAGAAAATTAAAAAAAGTGGGATAATTTTATACCATTATCCCAATTCTAGTTTTGTTAGAGTTCTACTTGACTAACACTGTAAAATTTTGTTCTAGTTTTAGTTCTATATAACTAACACCTTAAAAATTTATCCCACAGATTATCTCAGTTCCAATTTTAAGTTCTAGGTAACTAAAGATTCCAAAGTTTACACTAATTTGGCAATTAATAAGCAGTGTATTGGATATTTAGAAATATAATTGCAGATAGACTCATGTACTATCGCCTAACTGCAGATAGATCCCATTAAATCTATAGGTGTGGATAAACCCACCGTACTATTTGCCCAAGTGCACACTGAATCTATTTTTAAACAAGGGGTCTATTCCCACTTGTAAAACTCTATGTTAGTGGGGGCCACAAGAGAAGAAAAACGCGTGAAGTGATAATAGCTGTGAACAAAAGAAGTGGTTAGTCCATCGGATAAATCGCAGGCCCACCCGAAAGACCATTGTACAATATAAATATCCTAGTGTTCCTAGGGTTTCCGTGTGCAAGATTGAGGGGGGGTGCTGGAGAAAATTTGTGCGGCACAGGCAGAGGTATAAAAAGGAAGGGCGCAGGCAGAGAGAGAACACAGAGGGTTTTTTTTTGAGCGGTTGTGTGAGATTTTGGCGGCTGCGTGAGGTGAAACACAGAAGGTTCTCAAGCGGCCTTTTGAGAGAGTTTTGTGCAGTTTCTTGTGCTGATTTTGAGAGAGATAATTGTGTGAGGGTTTAGATTGAGTGATTGTAAACTCTAGTTGTATTATCTAATAGTAGATCTTCCCCTCCTTGCCCCGTGGACGTAGGCAGTTTGCCGAACCACGTAAAATTGGTTGTTTGAGTTTGTGGCCATTGTAATAGTTTTTAGGATCCCTCGACGCGCAGTCCTAGAGCTGACGAGAGGAAGAGCAAATATCCCACTTTGATGGGATATTAGGCTTTCAGATTCTTGTTCCCTTTGAGAAACAAGAATTCTTATCGATCTTTCTCTCTTATTGTGCACCAGAAACTCTGCCGAAATTTCCGCTGCGCACAACAAGTGGTATCAGAGCCCAGATTCTAGATCTAGGGTTTGGTTGGAGGAGTAGATCAATTTGGAGGCCCGTTTAGGACTTCGTTGGTGATAAAGGTGGGATCTTTTGGTAAAGACTCTATCTTTTCAGTTTTGGATCTATTATTCGTTCGTTGGTGCGTAAGATGTCGGGGAAAGAAGGTGCTTCGGGTGTCGAGGATGGTGCTTCTGGCGCGAAGACCATTCAAAGTCTGAATATCCACTCTATGAAGATAGATGTGGAGAAATTTAATGGCACAAACAACTTTGGATTATGGAGATGCGAGGTTTTGGATGCGCTGAACGCGCAGAATTTGGAGGATACCTTGGAGTTAGATGGCAAGCCAGATGAGATTGAAGAGAAGGTTTGGAAGAAGATGAATCGAACGGCGTGTGGTGTGATTAGGTCTTGTTTGACTCAAGATCTAAAATATGATGTGATGAATGAGACTTCTGCGAAGAAGATTTGGGAGATTCTCGAAAGCAAGTATTTGACCAAGAGTGTGGAAAATCGCTTGCATTTGAAGAGGAGACTTTATCGTTTCCAGTTGAAGAAGGGAACCTCCATTAGAGATCACATGAACCACTACACAAAGCTTCTTGCGGATTTGGCGAATGTGGATGTCAAGATTGAAGATGAGGACAAGGCGTTGCTGTTGTTGAGTTCCTTGCCCGACGAGGAATATGAGACCTTCGTTCTTACTCTGATTAATGGGAAGGAATCACTTTCGTATAGTAAGGTAACCGCTGCACTTGTGAATTATCAGCTTCGAAAGAAGGATAAGAAGGCTTCGGTTGAGCCGGTAGCGGAGGCGTTGGTCGCAAGAGGGAAGGGTCCAAACCGAAATAATTGGAAGTCACAGTCTAGAGTAGGGCATCCTACAATTGGAAAAGATCAGTGTGCTTGGTGCAAGGAGACTGGTCATTGGAAGAAAGACTGCCCAAAGCTCGACGAATGGATGAAGAATAAACAGAAGGGAAAAGGGAAGCAACCATCATCAGAAGCAAACATCGTATCGGATGGTAATAATTCTGACTCTTCTATTTATTCGCTTTCTATCAGTCCTACAGATAGCTATTCGGAGGAATCTGAATGGATGTTGGATAGTGGTGCGACCTATCATGTGTGCCCTAGAAGGGAATGGTTCTCCAGTTTTGAGAAGCTGGTGGATAGTGGTGTGGTGTACATGGCTGATAACCGTGCATGCCAGATCCTTGGGATAGGAAGAATTCGCATAAAGATGTTTGACGGGACTGTTAGAGAGTTAAACGATGTGAGATATGTTCCTTCTTTGAGGAAGAACTTGATCTCGATTGGAGCTTTGGTTGGAGAGGGTCTGAAGGTTCGTGTTGAGGACATGGTTCTCGAGATTGCGAGAGACTCTCGTATTTTGATGAAGGGCGTCAGGAGAAATAACCTGTATTACTTGACTGGAGGTATAGTGGCAGGTGGAGAGCTGACGACTTCTGTTGATTCGACTAGACTGTGGCATTTGGGCCTTGGCCATTCCAGTATTGATTCCTCGCATAGATTGAAAGAGGGTGCAAAGACCTGCAGTTTGAAGTCCAGTGAACATGTTGATGTGAGCAAGAAGACCGAGGTGAAGTGTGGCACCTCTATTCACCGTGCTAAGGGTCGTTCTGGAGGAGTTCACGTGGATGTTTGGGGGCCTTCCAAGGGGGCATCATTGGGAGGTAATAGAAGTTTGGTTTCCTTTGTTGGTGACTGTTCTAGGCGTGTTTGGGTTGCAACCAAATCCCATTTGAAGAAAGTCCTAGTAGTATCCAACAGATTAAAGAAGTGTGTGATAGACAGAAAGGTGAAGGTACTCCATTCTGGTGGGAGGTACAAGATGGACCTATTTCTGTATTGGAGCCGAGCTCACGGCATTTCGAGACACTTCGTTGGAAAGGAAATCTTGGGGCAACTAAATAGGGTGACAAATTTGGAGAACCGTGCCTTGCTGGAGGAGGATCGGTGTTTGTGGTCGAGCAATGGTTTGCAGAAGAGTTTCTGGACAAAGGCTTCGACATATTTGGGTCATCCTATTAAAGAGTTGTCAACTGCTGTGATTGGAGGTAAAACTCCATTGGAAGATAGGTCTGGTAGTGTCACTTTGGTTGAGGCTTCGATGAGGAAGCCAATTGACTCTCAGCAGGTGGAGAGTTTTGGACAGACCTTAGAGGTATCGCAGCGGGTGGAGAGTGATG